ATGTAATGACAGTACTATCAATTAGTAAATAAAGTCTCGCATTTTATGCTTATTCGCAGTAAAAAAAAAAAAAAAAAGAATATAGTTGATTTGTAAAATTTATATATTAAATAATTTCAAATCTATTTTTTATAGTAATTATTTTATTTTTATTTTTGAGAAATAATAAGAATTTTGTCTTATTGAAATTCAGAGAGTAAAAATATATTGTTAATATTTATAAGTTTTTATCTAAGTTTATAAAAAATGCAATATCAAAGCTTTTGAAATAAATTTAATATTAAATATGAAGAACATAAATATTAATAAAATCATAGAATAGTTTTATTATTTATTAAATACAACTAATTAGTTTCTAATTATTATTAGAATAAAAAAAATAAGATTATATTGTTAATAATTTTAAAAATTTGATTTTTGATTTAAAACATTTAAATATTTTTCGCATATATATTATATATGTACAGTATACAGGATATTTTGTTTTATTTAAGTTACAAGTCTTACATTTTTAATGAAATTTAGATTTTAAAAAACAATTATTATTATTAAAAGTACTCTTGTTACTTTAGTTTGATATATTAATTTCCGATAAAAATTAAATTTTAGCGTTTGCACATCGCAAATACGCTTGAAAATCTTAAACAGTAGAATAGGCTATATGATAGTGTTGTATTGATAATTGTAACCATTAATTTGGCATGTATTACTATAATAATCTTTAATTCGAAAATTTCGGTGACCAATTCAAATTGCATTAATTTGCAACATCCGGAATGTGTGTTACACAATTGAAATTACTTGTTTGGATTGTTAGTTGAAATTCCTTTCTTGTAGTAATTTTTACAATGCACAAGTCAGATGTGATAAATTCCTTCATACCTCGATTTATTAGTGTTTCCCTCCTATACCTACCCTTTTTTTTTGTTATTTACCATTTTAACACATACCACAGTCTTTTATACTCAATCTGTCCTTACTATTGTCAAGAAAATCTCTAACTTTGTTAGTAATGAACAAAAGCATAGGTCTTTTGATTATCACCAACAAAGCACTTTTTTGATATAAAACTTTATAACGATTCGGGATTATAATCTTTAATATTATTAGATATTGAAAATGGCAACAGAAGTTGACAAAGAGTTATCTAATGAGGTTCATCCTACATTAACAACAAGCCATTTTACTGATGAAGACGCAAGTTCCGATACAAGTGATAGTCCCAAAGAAGATTCTTACGACTACGTGTCAAATTACGAAGGTCCCGAAGATTTAGATAGTCATATTGACAGTATTGTAACTGAACAAAAGACACCACCAAGTCTCTCATCTCAGACGAAAACAAATGGTGAGTTTCCCGAATCTGCCGAAGAAGGAAACGGACCTTCTTCCGAGTCTTCTTCTAACTATGGAGATGACACTTTTGAAGAAATGAGCGAAAAGCCCCTTCACGATAGTAATAGTCGTACTTCAAGCACAGATTCATTTAACACCGATGGTTCAAGCAAAGATCAGAGCAATATTTCAGATCACACAAGTGATACCTCGTATGACGAAAAAGACGCGGAGAATGATTTAGATGATTCCGAACAAAATACGGAAAAAGGCAATAAAAATTATTCAAACGAGTCTACAAGTCAATCCGTAATAAACGTTGTGAAAAAACCTACTGAAATATCATCAGAGAGCTTGGCAAAAGATGAAGAGAATGCCGTCTCGGGTGATAAGGGTGATATAGAGTCGGTAAATAGCAAAACACCAAAATCATTTAGTTTTTCTTCGATTCATCACTCAATTGACATGACAAATGGGAGGGAAATTCAATGTGAAATAGTTGAAGACAAGGATAGTAACAACCGTATGTCAGTCGCTACTCTTGCGGAAAATCCAGAGTTAAACGATATATCGTTGGATGATGAATCTCTTCGCGTTGAGGAACCACAAAAGGAATGGAGTTTTAATGATTGGTCATTTCCTAAAACACCCACTTCTCTGAAATCACTTTCAACCCTCTTTACTTCACGTTCTGCGACATCACCTACACCCTCTAAAAACGATGATCGTCGTTTGTCTAGCGTGTCAATGATGTCGACTGGATCTAATTGTGATTTATTATTGGCAAGACTTGATAGGGAAAATCAAATGCTGCAGGAGGACCCTAAAGCAAAAAGAATATCGCTCCAAGGAATTGCCGAAATAAAGGCTAGTTTTGAACGTGCGCAAAATGAAGCTTCTGGAAATACGAATGAGGAAGACATTGACTGGGGTAATGTATAATAATCTATTTTTTTTTTTATGGACAGTAAAGATAAGCTCAACAACACATTTCTTTATTTCTACAGATTTCTGGGGACAACTTATTTCTGACTATGAAACAGTTGCTAGGACACAATCCAAACAATTATCCAAGATGATTCAAAAAGGGATTCCACAAACATTACGCGGTATGATATGGCAGCTAATGTCTAGGTCTAAGGATAGTGAACTGGAGTTGACATACGCGCAATTGTTAAATGAAACCAGTTCTCATGAGAAAATGATTACAAGAGATTTGAAACGCACATTTCCAAAGCACGAATATTTTCAAAATAAAGGTGGACAAGAAGGTTTGTTTAATGTTGTCAAAGCATACTCCATTTACGATAAAGAAGTTGGATATTGTCAAGGAATATCATTTGTTGTAGGGCCATTACTTTTGAATGTAGGGAGAGTTTTTTTTATCTTTCTAGCAATCATGCTTCATTTTTAGATTTTACGTTATAAAAATTTCCATGTCCCTTTTTATTGTTTAGATGCCTGACGAGGAAGCATTTTGCGTACTCGTTAGACTTATGAAATTTTATAATATACGGGGACACTTTTTGCCTGGAATGGATGGTCTTCAATTGAGATTGTATCAATTTGATCGTCTGGTTGAGGAAATGCTTCCCAAGGTGCACCAACATCTTCGAACGCAAGGAATAAATTCATCAATGTACGCATCACAATGGTTCATGACTTTATTTGCTTATAAATTCCCACTGTCTTTGGTTTACCGAATATATGATACCATCTTTACGGAGGGAATTGAATCGATCTTTCGGTTCAGCATTGCATTATTGAAGAAGAATGAAAAAAAATTGGTAGAGATGGAATTTGAAAGGCTCTTGGAATATTTAAAAAGTGGATTGTTTGAGAGTTACCAGGTGCGTAATATGTTCAATAAATAATTTGATATTCTCTCGTTACGCTTTATATTCACATGAACACTACTTTTTCTAGATTACACCCACCGGTGTTTTGGCTCAATTGGTCCCTGAAGTTCAATACAAATCTAATGAATTTGTCATGGACGCATACAATATAAGGATTACCACCAAGAAGCTCAATAAATATCAGCAGGAATATTATGCCAACCGAGAAGCGGAAAAGAAACGTTTGATGTCGGAGGCTGAAGCAATGGAAAGACTAAAAGCGAATAACCAACACTTAATTAATCAAGTTAGGGGTCTGGAAGGGAGTTTGCAGCAACTTGATCGAGAACATGTTGAGCTGGCTAACGAGCTTGTAAATACTAAGGTTGAACTTGCTCGACTCAAGGATGAAAACGACGAACTACATTCCACGGTTGCAAATTTACGTAAGAACTTGGAAAATCAGTTGAAAGAAGAAATGGATTCATTGGCAAAAAAAAACGTGAAGTTAGTAGAAATTAATAACAAGCTGGAAGATCAAGTTGCAAATTTGGAAAATATGCTGATTGAAAGTAAAATGAGATATGCCGAAAGCGAAAATGAAAGAGAGGTATTAAAACGTAAATGGAATGACTTGAAAAAGGCAATAGGCTAAGGAAATATGCGTGTTACGGACATGACAATGTGGTGAATATTTTCTTGATTTCATATTCAGGCCAAATGATTTTGTCCATTTACCATTTTGACTAACCAACCACTGTTTACCCTTCATAAAAAGTAGACACACCTATATTTATAATGCCTTCATCTTAATCATTTTTTATTAAGATAGTTCTTGCCCTTAAATGAATAATTTTTATTTTCTTTTCTCATAAAAATATAAATAGAATCTTCAGTACATAAATTTTCATTCTCTCTACATAATAAAAATAATTTGTAATAATAACATGACACAAAAGAAAGAATGATTATTATGTTTACGCAATTGCTATTTAAATTCCTATTTCCAACTCATTGGACAAAAATTTTTTCAGTCCAGTGACCAAGATGTCATTCAGTTTCCTTTCCGACTATTCTCGTCTGTAATCTTTGTTGATAAGCTAAAATTTTTGGAAAGACTGAATAACTTTCATGTGAAAGTTCAATTTCAGTTGTTATTATTGAAAGTCATTGGTATCCTATTTCCATGGTAAATTTTTATATCACTAATATATACCAACTCGTGAGTGAATATCATCCAATAACAGGACGCGGATAACTTTCCGGTCAGACGAGCCATGTTCCTAGGCCATTCTAAATTTGATTTGTTTACAAAGTAAACGTTATGCAACAAACTACGCTATATCCTATGTTTACATGCTGTATAGACTCTGGGTATAGTTTACCATCTGCCTCGTTTTGAGAAATAACCTCTCCCATTCTTTCGCGACGGGGGTGGCATGTTACCGGCAACCGGCGATGACTGTGTGTTCGGGTTATTTGATTGACCCGTAGCTTCTGGGTCTGGAGTTAAAGCAACTGATGGAGATTCATTAGGGGTTTTTGCATTATCTTCAGTGGAGATATCCTTAGACTGAGGCTTTGTCAATATTTGAATCTGAACGGGTTGTTTGGCACTTGCACTTTGTCTTCTGTTTCGATCTCTCTCACGACGACGGTTGTGAGTATGTTCTTTAGGTGCTATAGTTGATGTACTTGCAGTTTCGGGAGAATTTTCTGACGGTGTTACAGTCGACTCCCTAACAGGCGTTTCTGCAGGTTTATCTGTCGGATCAACTTCTTTTTTAATCGAAGAGCTCGTAGGACGTTGAATAATTTGTCGAATTTGATCTTTCTGACGCTGTTGAATTGAAATTTTGAATGGTGCGTTTCTTTTAGCTTCTTTCTCCTTGGCGTCCAACTTTGCGTCTTCGGGTGTTTGTGATTTTGTTAAAATAGTGATTATGGGTGTTTCACCTTTTGCTGTTTCCGATGAAGACTTTTGTTTATCTTTTTCTTTCATCCTCTGCCTTTCCTTTTCCCTTTTCTTCTCTCTCATTCTTTCACGATAACTCTCCCTATCTTTATTTTGGTCTGACGGTTCCTTGTTTCTTTCTTGTTCATTTTCTTCTACACCTTCCTCTCCCCGGTTCGTATCAACGTCAGTAGGTTTTCCTTCCTTATTTTTGATCTTTTCCTTCTCTTTTTTTTCCTTTTCCCTTTCTCGTCTCTTTCGTTCACGCTCTCTTCTAGTGGGTTTGTTAGGGCTGGAACTGGGAGATGCAACTTCTGAATTTTGTGCTCCCCGAATTTGTTTAGATTTAGGTCCGGATCCTTTTGCGGGTGATCCAGGAGGAGAAAGAATGGACAATTGTGATTGTTTTGGTGGCGGTGATTTTGACTTTGCAATTAATTTTTGAGCACGTAAATGATCGAGGAGAGGTGTAGATGTTGGTTTTTCCACTGCGTTGGAAGCTGAGCTCGCTATTACCCGGAAAGAAATTAGTTATAAATAAAGAAAAATTATCAACAAACTAGTATTAAAGCGTGCTAACCGGCGGCCAAAGCTAATCGAGTCTCCAATCTTTCCAATTGTGTAGCGCCACCTTCCAACGCAGCACCTGGTTCTTTCGAACTGGCTTGTTGAGACTCTTCAGCTTTCAAAGAATCGAGGAACGCAAGGTAACTCGGATCTAAAATATTAAATCATATATTATAGAACCGACTTATACCTATTCAAAACTCATATCAAACTCACCAGATTCGATAGTTCCTTGTCTTGGATCGGGTTTCTTGTGTTCTTTTGGTAATTTTTGGTAAACTGCGAATTCAACCACGGCTCTATTTTCCATCCCTAAATAGATTTGTTAAATAATTAATTATGAATCACTTTAAAGAATTATAATTCTGTTCATACCATTTTTATCAATAAACAAATGATTATCGTAAGCGCGATGAAATTCCAAGACTTGTTCAACGGTTTTGAAATGAAAATATGCACGTGAAAATACACTCTCTTTGTTCTTACTAAAATAAAAAGTTGAATTAATAAGGTTTATTAGAATTCGACAAGCGCATTTCAAGCAGTAGATACCTTTTACTTATTCTCCCCTGGTGAAAACGATAATAGTCGGTGGTTTCTTCATTAGCCCATTGTTTAACAGAATCCAAAAACAAGCTTTCCGGCAGCAAAGGAGGTAGCCGACGAATTACAATTTTAGTTTTTACCGCATTCTTACATTGCCCTGAACGTTTCGCTTTTGTCTTCTTGGAAAATTTTGGGGTAGATTTACCTGACATTTTTAATAATATAATTTTTTAGGATTACGTATGGGATTTAACACCTTAATGTCGTATCTATCATCCGACGTCACAAACAGCCGATCATTTGTTATAATTATATAATTTATAATTAAAAGTAAACCTTATTATTCTTCTTATTACAGTGGATATGTACATTATTCAATATATAATCAAAGTTAATATTTTGTAAGTTTCTCTTGAGCTGAAATACAGGCAAAAATATAACATGGCATACTATTGACAAGACTATGGCGATATTTGGACAAGAATTTGTATCTAATTCTGTAAGATTTTGTGATTTCGAATTTGCATTTTTATGATGTTTTAATGTTTTAATTGAATTTAGGTCTGGACTTTAAAAAGATCAATCTATGATCTGAATTTTATTATTAGTAAAAAATTTGCTTGTTTTTTTAGTGATATGTGGTTTTGCATTTTCTTGTTGAAATCAGAAGTAATTATTATTTTGAATAATAAAAAATTTTTTTAAAAATAATATATTTATAAAAAATATTAATGTAAAATATAGTATTTATAGAACCTTGAATAAAAACAAGAAATCCATATCATATTATAAAACAATTTCATATTATTTGATTTTGGTTATATTTCTTTATTTTACTTATGTTATATACAATAATATAATTTAAATTAAAAAAGTAATATAATAAATCTATTTTTTTATATTTTATTTTCAAATTCACAAAAAAGATTTTACAAAATTTTCTAAGTAGATAAGCATAATTACTATTCAAATATAGCTAGTATATAATATTATTTTGAATTTCTTTTTAATATTAATTATATGTATATATAGGTAAAGATGGATTCCTAAACTATTTAATAAGGACATAACTGAGGACATAACCTAAGCTAGGTTTCGGTTATAAGGACATAAGGTTTTGGTTATAAAAATAATAACTTATTAATTTTTATTTAAAAAAAATAATTATTTTAATT